GCGGCCTCCCCCCGGGTGCGCGCGCATCCAGCCCCCTCCCCAGCCGGCGCTGCGCTTCTTCCGTAACCGAGCCCTTGGAATCCCGGAGACCCGCCCCGCCCGCAGCGCGGCGCGCGGGGGACGCGCGCAAGCATCATAGAGCGGGCGCGCACAGAGCGGCCCTCCCGCTCGGGGCGTGGCCCCGGCCACCGCCTCTTAGGTCCTCCAAGCGCCGTGGGCGGCCATCTTATCCCCGCCTCCTCGAGGACCCGCCCCCGACCCCACCCGCTGAGCCCCGGCCGCGCCCTTCCGGCCCCCGCCCTCACCGGGCGCGCGAACCCGGAAGGCGGGTCGGCCGGTCAGTCACTTGTGGAGGAATGTCGGGGCTAAGGCTGCTTGGTGCCAATAGCTCTGACCACCCCCACTAAGTGATCCTACCTAGGTGATTTTACATACCAATTAATAAACTACAACCCAGTGTGTCATTTTTATATTAACTAACTAATGGGAGTACCAGATACCCACTTTTGCACCCCTGAACTAAAACTTGCCTTGGAGTCAAATTGAAGGACTAAATCACAGGGTCCTACCAGTATCCTTCAGATTCTGGTTTCCTAGTCAGAGGACCCTAGATTGATTATCGTACAACTTTATAAGACTATCCTACGGGAAATGATCATTAGAATCATCCCTCCAGTTATAATGAGTTTACCTTTGATTTGTCCTTAGGATGACAAAACTTCTTTAATATGCCAGGAATTTACCAAATTTCTTAGATGTTTTATTAATTTGGATTTTGGTGTTTCATCAAACACTTAAAGAACCCCCTTCTGTACAGAGACCATTTAATGCACTGTCACAAGTCTTTACAAATCCAGAATTCTTCTGGATAGGCCAACTTAGCCCACAGGAATGATTTGAAAGAATAATGCCAAACTGGTTAAGAAAATGTATTTAAATCTTAAAGAATTGTTTTTTTTCTATATGTTGGTTAACATTTATAGAACTGTACTGCCAAAATTCAAGATGATACATTATGAAAAGTTTGGAAGACAGAAAAGTATAAAACACACTTTATCAGATTGATAACACTTTTTGTACATATGGTACCTAAATTTAAGGGTCAAGTTAAAGTATAGAAATAAATAACTAATGGGTAAACATGAGCAGAAGTTTAGTAGAAATGGTAACTGAGACAATAGATGGGATATAAGATACTTTTGGGTATTTTCATCTATCCAGACTGTCTACCAAGGCTATACATCAAAAGATATAATGGATAGAAAGCTTGGTTAGAAGAATAAATCATCAAAAATTTTAAAGTAATACCATTGACTTTGGCTATTGGATTCCATTTTTAAATCTCAGGAGAAATTGTCTAATGTTCCCTCTTCAAAAGCCTTTTGGTTGCACATCACACTGTGGCACCATAGAGTAAAATGCAGAAAAAGAAATGTTCTTCTCCACTAAAAGAAGTAAGAAATCTAATTAAAGAAACATGATAAATTCTCACATGGACTGAGGACCTAGTAGTATTGAGAAAAGATGCTAAATACCCAAGAGATAGATTCCTTTTGGAATGTATTTAGGATTAAGGGATAGAGAGAAATCTTTGTTGCCCTTAAAATACTGGGCAAATAATAAATCCTTTATAATTCCAGGAAAATGCATTTTCTGTCATTTCTAGACAAAAAGCAACATTATTTTTCTCAAGCAGTAAAGTTATGATCAAATATTTCAATTTTATCTCTCTCACAATGGAAATGGCCTTGTTGGCTTCACCTTATGGGGGAAAAAATGAAAGACAACAATAAGAGAGGATTATGTATGAAATCTGGCCCATTAAACAAACAATAGAGATTTAACCACCTCTGATCTCTGCCTTCCAGGTGTAAAAGCAGGTGCTGAAATACCAACTGTCAATAGTCATTCTTTAAAAATTTTTCCCTTTATTGTTTACCAGGTAATACTAAGGGTAAGTCATTAAAGAACAGAGAGCTGTCAAGAAAAATTGGTGTTATTTGGATTTTTCTTAAGAAAAATAGGACCAATACAAGAAATGAAACTTGAAAGAACTATTGGGCATTTATGGCTGCCTTTGAGATCTGTATATTTTATTAACCAATCATAACTGACATTTGAATCTTTGAGTCTGTAAGTTAATGAAAAAAGGATTTAAATATTGCAAAGCCTTACTTTTTCCTATGAGCAAATTTATATCAAGTGATAAGGAGGCATCAATTTCTCTCTTACAGAGTCCAAACAGTATGGTCAGAACTTATTGAGACGTTAGATAAGAATGAGCACAGAGCCAAAAAACATTTCCAGCTCTAATTAGCAGTTTCTATGATTCACTAAGTTGGCCCAACTACTGTTCACCTAATTCCCAACAAAAATGAAAAGCTCTTGGCATGGCATGTCAGGAGGCTGAATGACACTTTCAAGTACATGCAATACAAATAAAATATTTTTTTATTGCCTTCTACCTGGAATAACTACAGAGGAATCTTACACTCCACAGTTCAAACTAAAAAGAGACAAGTTAATTACTTGCAAGGCAAGAGAAAACAAGGAGAGGTAAATTTTGAAGCAAGGGAAGTTATTTGAGAGGATAATCTGGTGGTTTCAAATTTTTCTACTAGTTGTTACATTATCCACAGGTAAGTGACTAGTAGTAAGTGTTTAGGATTAAGGGATAAAGAGATGCTTATTTGATTTACTTTCTTAAAAATAGGAAATGCTGTTCTACCAGTAGGCGGAACTTCAGATTTCAGAGCCTTAAGATGTCACTTAACACTAAAATAGTGGTGTTTTTAACCTTCGTTTTAGTTGTAAACATCAAAGTGCCAGAATACATGATTCCTGAGAAAGCAGGGTTAACTATGGCTGCTGTTCACAGGGTTAACTCAGTGGTGGAGAGGTACTGAGTAGATCAGAAAATACATGTCAGACTTGCAACTACTTCATGTCAGAATAAGCTCCTTTGTTCACACCCTCAACCCAGCACCTTTCACCTGGTTTATTTCTACCAATCGCCTATAACTCATGTTAGATTGTTTCCTCTGAGGAGACTTCCTGGACTCCACCAGCTCCTGCACCCCTGGACTCCAAGGTATTAACTTTCTGTCACGCTACCATTTATTCAGTGTTCCCCTGTCCATTTGTTGTACTTCATTTTAATTAGTTAATTAACTGTCTTCCCTGCTCATCTAGAAGGCTAATCTTCATGCTCACCCATTGCCTATTACTGGGCCTGCCTAATCATTAGATAATGGATGGAACATTGTTTAATCTCAAAACAATGACCAGCTTATTTTCTTCTGGATGGAAGCATGTAGTCACAGATTATATAAAGTCGGAATATTAAAAACTATTATAGTTTTAGCAAACGTTGGTAAGTTTCTGTGTCCCAAGAGATATATATTACAGTAAATTTTACTAATTAAAAATGAAGCTTAATTTCATTTTAGAAACATGTTTAATTATTAGAGTTGTTATGTTTTCTTTAGCGTAGTCTTACTATATGAAATGAAAGTAATTCGGACTAGTGAATTCCTCAACAGTTTTGTGAAATATATTATCATTAAAAATTTAACACAGGCCTGGCCCTCCCTGGTGGCGCAGGGGGTTAAAGCACAGCACTGAGAAGCTAAAACCACTTCCACATGAGTTCAATTCCCGCCTGCCCCGGAGGAAATCCACATGGCGTGGCAGATCTCTCCTGACCCGCCCGCTGCTCCCCTCAGCAGTGTATTTTGTCGATCTGACTGTTCTGCTCCCCACTCTGTCTATGGTTAAACCCTTCGCTGCCCCTGAGCCTCTGGCCTGTACCTCAGTTCTGTATGCACAAATAAATAAATCTTTGAAAAAACAAAATTGACAGAGGCCCTCCCTGGTGGCGCAGCATGTTAAAGCTCAGCACTAAGAAGCTAAAGCCACTTCCACATGAGTTCGATTCCGCCTGCCCCGGAAGTGACCACATGGCGTGGCAGACCTCTCCTGACCTGCCCGCTGCTCCCCTCAGCAGTGTACTTTGTCGATCTGCCGGTTCTGCTCCCCAGTCTGTCTCTGGTGAAGACTCTCGCTGCCCCTGAGCCTCTGGCCTATACCCCAGTTCTGTATGCATAAATAAATAAATCTTAAAAAAAAAAATTTAACAGAAGTTGACTCTTTCAAAAAAGCTATTTCTGAATTTGTATTTTTATTGACTCTGACAAAGTTTCTCTGAAAGCATTTTCTTTTTGGCTTTACTAATTTCTATTTTCCCCCTAATTTGGTATACTTTCTATCATAGTTAAAAAAAAAAAAACTAATGGAGAACCTAAGATTTGCCCTAATGATCTTAGTTGATCACCTCTAGACAAGCCTTCACCTACCTCAAAGCTCCCCAATAAGTTAATCATAATTGTACAGTCAATCTTGACTCCCCATATTGCTTATCTCTAATCACCAGTCATTACTATCACATATTCTTCTGTGCAGCTTCAAAGTCCCACCCTCCCCACCCCGACTGGTGTGGGGTGGGAACAGTGGCTACCCCAGGTCTGTCTCAGGCTCCATTAGTGGGCCTAATCAATGACCATGACCAACCTGGTTCTTCTTATCCACCCCAAAAAGAAAATATAAATACTTTCCAGTTAAGTTTAGGTGAGAACAGGTGGAGTTGGCAGTTCTAAGGTTTTAGTTCTTGATTAAAACAAAACAACAAAAATTATGTTTCAATATTTTTTGTATTCCATACCCTTGATTCTGCTTTAAACATGTACTTGAGATGAGAAACAGTGAGACCAGGTGGCAACTATGAAAGAAAAAAACACAAAGATAAAAACGCCAACACCCTAAGAATGTAGTAGAATGCTCCAGAAGATGGAAAGCCTGAGTGAAAATTTTGAGCAGTTGAACCAAATCTTGCAACTGTGTGTCTCCAGACTTCTTGATTAGAAGCCAAACTAGACCATATTTGGAGAAAATCATTATTTGGGTTTTGGAAAACCTGCAACAGAAAGCTGAAATACAATTCTTTCCTCCCTCAATGGATTGTGTTAATCTTGCTAGGAATTGGGCATTTCCCAAGGTTAAGATCTCTGGGTAAGAAAGTAAAGCAGAGAAAGAAGGGAAGAAAGAGCAAAGGAGAAGGTGGGTAGGATCTATCTAAGGCAGGACTAGACCCGAAGAGGTTCCCTTTTCACCTCTTATGAAAGGGAAAGCATTTCAAGAGATCAGCTTGCTTGGCACAATGGAAGATCCAGCTCCAAAAAGTAGGACCCATATATTATCTCTGAACTTGTCCACATCATTGCAGCTGTCCTCTTCTCTCAGTAGAATAACAGATTTGGGGGAGAGAGAGCCAACATCAACGTTCCTACAACTGAGATCCATATATGTACCCAAGTCATCAAGTCTTTCCAAACAAAACAAAGTGTGTACAACCAAATTTTTACAAGCAAGGTAAGATTTATAAAAACAAAAACTTGTCAGTTGAAAAGTTTCATTTCAACAACAATCTTTTTATTTAAAAAAAAATCCCTAACATCAGTATAACTATACTTATATGTGGGTGTGTATAAACTTACTACATAGAAAACAAAGTAGAAAATGGACTGTTTGCATAGCCAACTAGTGTCTGAGAGATCTGAGTCATACCACCAAATTTCATTAAGAAGCAGTGAAACTTTGTATGATGTTGACCAAAGATAAAGCAAGAAACACCAAGTTAGCAGTGAAACTTTGTATGATGTTGACTAACGATAAAGCAAGAAACACCAACTCAATATGTGAATTATGATGCTGTAAAATATAAAAATCAAAAAACTTTAGGGTATGATAAATAAAAGTTTTGCAAGTCATTTAATTTGAAAAAAAGTGTAAGCCAAGAACATGGTGGTATCTATAGATCAAAACCTAAACATTCTGAGTGATGGTAATTTGTACAATATTCACTTTATGATTGCTGATTTGACTTCAGGGAAAGTCTTTCATAAAGTAAATTGATTTAATTTGATTGCTATTTTTGATAATTTTACTGGTATTTAACTTATATATTTATTCAGTGTTTTTAAGTACATATGAACCATAAATATAATAATCTAAAACATGCTTTATATTTATGCATACTTAACAACAGAATAATAATGTAAGTAAGCACTGGGAGACATTCCTTCTAATAGTAGTGAATATGTGAGTGCTGAAAATGAAACCCTTGGATGTTATATTTCAAAATCATGTTTTGTTTTGTTTTGTTTTGCCTGAGAAGTTTGGAAAATATTCCAATGACTCAAGAACCTCACCAATCACTAGCAAAATAACCAGATTATAAAACCTAAATAAAGATTAGATTCTATCTAATAAAGTGGAAGGATAAACACTAGTATAATAATTCTGTAAAATGAAGCAAGTTTTGATATTTCACTGTGGTCTATATTGCAGGTTTGAGGGAGGAGTCACAAGAAAAGTCCATAATGCAATTGGAAAGAAACATGATTTTATTCAGATCTACTTTTACCTTCCCTTGCTTTGTCATGGAACAGATGAAGATGAGAAAAATATCTGAATGCAGTAGAAATGGGAGTCTTGCATGGCCATCAAATAATGCAAATTTTCTTTTCCAGAAGAATAATCAATTTGGGGTGCTAATTTAACCATTCAAGATACACTGCAAAGGGGAAGTGAGGGGAGAGGCTTGCTGGGGGATTCTTGGCATGGTCCTGAAGAGATAACTAGATTATAGAAGTAGGAAAGACAACCAGCATGCCAAATGTTAATGTGCCTTTTACTCATGGACACTTCGGCGCTGATAGTGTTTTCATGACCGGAGGCACGTCCTGGGTTTTACCCCCATAAAGCAGCATGATTTCTCCTCCTTGAATGGTCGCTAGATTCCTCAACACAGCAATCTGTTCTTAATGTATATCCAAGTATGTTTTCAATCATTTTGAACTCACCACCTGATTCTTAGGTTCTTCAGCAACCTCCTCACTAAACTTAATCAGATAAAGTCCTTCAACTGAGTACACTGTGCTTTACTGGCTGGCCGAAGGGTTTTACTTCTTTTCTTATTTCTCCCAGTCTTTATATAAGATGGATGTTTCTCAGAGGATATTATTTAACTCTATAGCATTTATTGCCACGTCTTCTTGGGACATAAATATGCTGCTTTCTATGTGCTATAGAATGTCTTGATTTTTCCAAGACATGCTTAAAATCTTTCCTACCCTTGCCTACAGAGTTTTCCAAACAGCTTTCTCTTGTTTAACTCTCTAATATGGGCAGTGTAGCCTCCTTGGGCATTTTGAGGAAAGCTCTTAAGATTAAAAAGAAGAAGAAGAAGAACAAAAGATAGTGGGTATAAAATAACTTTGAAAGAACAGGTCATGCAAAGAATTGAATAAACTTTAAAAAATTAATATACTCACATTAAATACTCTGAAGAAGTTTCTGATCAAGCATATGACATTAAAAAGGAACAACAAGAGATTAAACTTCTTAGAGCTGTAATTATGATAGCAGAATTTAAAAAATGAAAAAGAAAACTGAATAATTCCAGAAGTAAAGAACAGGAAAAGAAAATAGGAGGTGACTATTTTTTAAATAATTTAAGGAAAGTTCTAGGTTCATGGAGACTGCAGCATAAAGAAGGCAACCACTGGCTCACCCCTAGATACAGAATCTTGAGATTTCAGAGCATCACAGGCAAGGGAGAAAGCCTGAAAGACAAAGGGCTGGAAAGACGGCAAGCACACGCCCAACTCAGAACACACACACAGGAATGGCAGTAAGAGTATCACTGGGCTCCTCAGCAACACTGAAATCTAGAAGGCAAAGGAGCAATGTCTAAAACTTTATCTTAAATTATTTTCAAACAAAAATTTTATGCCTAGTCAATAATCATTTCAGAACAGCAGCGTAGTCCTCAAAAACACCTGTCCCAAGGAGTCTTTCCCAGAAAGCTGCTGAAAGAAAAACAAGTTTTACCAAAACAAGAGTGAAACAAGATTAACAAAGATAGAGGATTCAAACAGGGGGGTGGTTCCAGTAAGAACTCTGAAGGAGGCAAACATTGGCCCAGAGTGAGGAGAGAAGGAGTTCCGACTCCTGCACAGAGAGAAATATTCCTGGTTGGGAGAAGACTGAGGCCATAGGAGACATATCTCTAGGCAAAAGGGAAAAAGAGTATGCTGATGGCTTATGCAGGAAAAAAACAGCCTTTGGAAACTGTGGTGAGGTGACTAAGCAACAGTTCTCATAAAACTTAACAAAGAAGTAATCATAAACTTAAAGAGAATAGAAATATATTATAGTTACAATCATAATGTGATATTACATGATCTGTAGTGATTTTATCAAAAATTGGGAAAGTGAACCTACACTAGAGGAGACAGCTGAAAAAGAAGAAATTAAAGGGGCCCCCCTGGTGGCACAGCAGGTTAAAGCACAGCACTGAGAATTGAGTTCGATCCCTGCCAGGCCTGGAGGTGACCACATGGCAGAGCAGACCTCTCCTGTCCCTCCCGCTGCTCCCCTCAGCAGTGTACTTGGTCAGTCGTCCTGTCCTGCTCTCCACTCTGTCTCTGGTGAATCCTCTCATGGCCCCTGCACCTCTGGCCTGTACCCCAGTTCTGCATGCACAAATAAATAAATCTTTAAAAAAAAAAAAAAGAAGAAGAAATTTATGAACCTCTGGGAAGTGAGACACATGTCAGTAACGAAGAGATTAGGCAGGTACCACTTATAGTCTTTGTACATGTCTTAGTATTATTTAATTTTTGAACCATGTGCATGTGTGATTTTGGTAAAAAAAAATTATAATTTTTTAAAAATTTTAATGTGATTTTCTTTTTATACCTTCACTTACACTTCACGCTCTTAAGGATCAGTGCCAACTTTCTTCCAGTGTTACTACTTGCCAAGGCCAATGCTGGGTACTTCCCATGCATTATGTTTAATCATTGCAATACCAGAAAGCAGATATTATTATCTTCAACTTACAGATGAGGGAACTAAAACATTGAGAATTTTATTTACCCATTAGTGTTGACCTAAATGGTAAAAAATAAAATTGGAATGTTTTGTTTCTCACTTTTAAATCCTGGGCTCTCTCCATTCTATATTTTAAAGCTTAACCTTTGAAGCTTCACCTTCAGTTTTTGCACCTGTTAGTAGATTATTCTCTTTACATATATCTGGGCCAGGTTTTAGCTAGGCCGTCATGGCTTAAGTTGCTTACTTATCATTCTCCATTCCTAGTTCATAGTTTTGAATGACATTTTGAATTGTTTCTTCTTTAGTTGATCAGTGTCAGAGAGTGTTTTGAGCTTCTACTCGGAGCTTAAATTGTTAGCATTAAATGATTACCCTGAACTGTTCATGTTTGTAAGTCTGAAGGTTTGGCAGAGGGTGGAAAAAGTGCTTATTGAAGAAAGAGTTTCTATGATTGACTAAAGCGCCAAATAATAAAGCAGCAGCCTCCGGACAAAGAAAGAACAAAGCTTATTTTCTTGATGGGAACTATCCCCTCATTCCTTTCCTTACACATCTCTGTCCATTAGCAGGGGGTAGTTAACCCAATGTAACAGTTTCCTGACAGTAAACTATCTCTGAACATATTAATGTCAAAAAATTAATAGGAAATATTTTTAAGAGACATAGACACATGTTTACAAACTTTTCTAAACATATAATTTATTCATAATTTTAGATGAAGAAAATGCTTATTAACAGTAAAAAGAAGACAGGATTATAAATGTTCTCTTTAGGAAGAAACGGTTACAATTATAAACTACTTTTCCTAGTTTACACTAAAATAACATTTGTTACCAGCAACTACAACTTGTAGCATATGGTGATTAACTAGTCCTAAATAATAAATAGCATTTGAAGATGCATAAGGTGAAAATTTCTAAATTGAATTACATTTTAAAAATATGTAGAAAATTAATGGGTGCAGGAAAATATGAAAAGAGAAATTTGTGCTTATTTTAGCAAATATCTTTGCAAACTTTGTAAAATGTGCGATTACTCAGATCATGATCTAGCACAAGAAAAAAAAGGATAAACAATTAGTGAAGCCACAAAAAAGAAAAAGAAAAATGATAGATTTTACAATCTTAAAAATATGTAGAAAAGTTGTATGGTTGCCATATAAATGAGAAATAGTTTGATTAATATTGTGTTATTTTGAGGGAAATGGCAAAACAGACTTTATAAGAAGTGCTCCATGAGAAGTACTTTAGGGGTTCCCAAATGCACAATTCCTTAAGTTTTTGTGTACCTGCATTTTAATACAAACTCAAACATCAAGAAAAATGTTCAAGAATATAATTTTCTTACATGAAATTTACCACATGATGTCCAATAACCCCCCAGCCTTTAATGAGTAATTTCTTCAAACAAGGACATTCCCCCTGCCCCATAATAACCACAATGCAGCTACCCAAATCAAAAAGTGAACACTGGCATATTATTCTGATCCTTGACCCCACCCAAATGTCACCACTTGTCTCAACAACGCCCTAGATAGCACAAACATCTCATCGAGAATTACATAGTACATTTGGCTGACCTATCTTTTCAGTCTCCACCAGTGATGGATGAGCTCTTCAGTCTTTCATTGGCTTACATCATTTCGAAACTTTGGAGGTCAGTTATTTTGCAGAATGTCCTTCCGTTGGGGTTTTTTCCTCACTATTAAATTCTGGTATTATGCTTATTTGGCAGGGGCATCGCAGAGACGGTGCTGTGGTCTTCTCATGCTATCAACGAGCTGACACACAATTTCAAGTTGTTCCATTACTGGTGATGTAAACTTTGATCACTTAATTAAGTTGGTGTCTGGCAAGCTCGTCCACTGTAAAAACACATTCTTTCACCTTGCAATTCATACATCTTTAAGATATAAGCTCATTTTTTTCTATAATAAAACACCTTCCAATATGGTATAAATCAACTTTTCATTGAAGGCCATTTCAAGTTGCTGATTTACCTCATTTTTGCAGAGAGTTTCACTTGTTGCTTCCTGAGCTCTAGTGGTATATCATTTTGAAAGATTCATATTTTTTTTTCTTTGGTTGGTCTGAGTCTCAGAGACTAATCTTCGCAATACTTTTGAGCGTAAATTATTTTTAACACTGAATAATAACACCGCCACATTCACATATTTATTTTCTTGAGAATACAGCATCTGCAGTCATTTTCTATTGCTGGATAACAAGTTATTGCAAATTTAGCATCTTAAAACTACACACATTTGGGCCACCTTTCGTGGCACAAGAGGTTAAGGCTCAGTACTAGTAAGCTATCAGCAGCCACTGCAGCAGCATGAGTTCGATCCTTGACCAGGCAACTAACCCATATGATGCAGCAGATCAATCAGATCAATCCTGTCTCACCCACTTTGCTCCCCTTGGTAGCGCATTTAAGTCAATCTACTTGTTCTGCTCCCTACTCTGTCTCTGGTGAATCCTCTCAGCCCCTACCCCCTCACCCCAGTTCTTGCATGCATAAATAAATAAAAATAAATATTACCCCAAAACTACACCCATTTGTCGTACAGTTTCCATGGGCCTGGAATCTGGGTGCAGCTTAGTTAAATTTCTTGCTCTTAGGCATATTCCAGATGTTGACTGGAACCAGGGTCTCAGTTGAGATTCTCAGGTCTTCTTCCAAGCTTACATAGTGGTTATATAGTAATTCCTTGCAGTTTACAACACTTGGGGACCTGACTTTCACTTCTGATCTGTGGACCGTCATTTATAGGGTTCATCTGTTCAAGTCAGGCCCACCAAGGATAATTTCCCTTTTGAGCAACTCAAAGTCAACTAATCTGAGGTGTAAATTTCATCTGCAAAATCTTTTCACCTTTGCCATCTGGATCAAATACTTGAACTTTTTACATTGCTTCCCTGGTATTTGAGTTGGTTACTCGGATCTGACTCAGCTTTTTTCTTTTTTTCAACTTTAATTTAAGTTTTCACATGTCTGAACACATAAAATTGTACAAGTAAAAACACTGTTACAACATGTGTACACGATTGTGAAATACCAGGTGAGGCTTTCTGTGTGCTTACCCTGGAGTAAAAATTGTGCAATAGCAAACACACAGCCCACTGAGTTGTCATACTGTCGTATTAGATAATGTTAACACTTATTAGAAATTTTGGATGTTGCTTGCCTGCCTATTTTAGGGAAGAAATGAAATCAGTTTTCAGATTTTTTTATGATTTAACTTAACATCCTCTCAAGTTCTGGATCATTTTAGCCAAGAAGTGTACTCAGTTTTCAATGGGTACTGATTTTTTAAAAATACCATTTAAAATTGCTCACTTACATGTATCAAAAAAGTTCCAAGAACTCTACAGTCCAAACAAGATATAGAAATGAATGCTAAGACATATCAACAATAAGTCATCCACAAAACCTACATAGCAAGTCTCTGGTTACTATTCTCTATTATATTATACCCATGGATAAGGATTTGAAATATAACCTTATAAAATAAATGTGTTGCCATAACTTCTGCTTTTCTCTATGGCAGAAGTAGTGATTGGGGTGGGTGTTTTTTGAGTGAGATTATGCTTGATGAAAGAGACTATTGCTTTAAAAAAAGTTTGAAAGTCGCAAAAGTGTTTAAACAAGGTAATATTAAAAGGCTAGATCAACGGCTAGTAAAAGAAATCTGGGAAACTCTGGAGTCTAATCAAATAATAATTTAGTTCAATTCTTTCTTTAATGGGACTTATGGAGCTGTTTCAGCATTTGCATATTCATCCAATCTGATAACAGGACTACTGTCCACATCTCCTCTAGCTATGGGTTTGTTGTACTCAATCAAGATCTAGTACATACTCTTATATGGAGATGTATGCTAACCCACTGTGTGTTATTGAGTAAGCTATATATCTGATTAAATAACTCCTGCCAGCATGATCTGATTATATGTATTTTATCAGAAAGATCAGTTATTTCAGCTCTCAGCATAGCTTTGGTTAACTGGAGGCTGCATAAAATCTATGATACAATTTTCCAAATACAATAAATTTCATGGAATATATCTCCTGTGTGACAAATAGTTTTGTCCTGGAAAAGGGCCAGGGAAGGAACTAAATCTAAATATTCTTAAATGTTAGGTTTTGCAAGGTGTTTTTCCCCAGTCTTAATGAGTTATTGAGTTATGTTGAGGTACATTATGTATCCCTCTAAAGAGAACAATTTCAGCCATCTTAACATATGTATATACCACAGTCAAATAATGAACCATCAGCCTCAAGTTTCTTTGCTTCTTTATAATCCATACCTGCCTCTACTGCTTTCCACTTAACTGCTTTGTCGTTATAAAAAAATGAATATTGGGCCCTCCCTGGTGGCGCAGCGGGTTAAAGCACTGCACTGAGAAGCTAAAGCCACCTCCGCATGAGTTCGATTCCCGCCTGCCCCGGAGGCGACCACATGGTGTGGCAGACCTCTCCTGGCCCACCCGCTGCTCCCCTCAGCAGTGTACTGCCTGTTCTGCTCCCCACTCTGTCTCTGATGAATCCTCTCACCCTCCGCATCTCTGGCCTGTACCCCAGTTCTGTACGAATAAATAAATCTTTAAAAAAAAAATGAATATTTTCTGGAATTTTATCTAAATGGTATCATCCAATGTGTGTCTTTTTTTCCCCTGAATTTTATACTCATCTACTGGCTTTAAAATTCATCCATGTTATGTTGAACATCTGTCATACATTCCTTTTTATTACTAAGTAGTATTCCTTTATATGGATATATCACAATTTATTTAGCCCCTAGTGATGAATATTTGGGTTGTTTCCATTTTGACTATTACAAATTAACCTGATTCGAGCATTCATGTTCAAATCTGTATGAGCACATTTGTTTTCATTTCTCCATGATAAAAATATAACATATGGCAGGTATTATATCTATCTTTATAAAGAAA